TTTAAAAAAAACCAAACAATATAAAATGCCTCTAAAAGTTGACCTGTTTCGAGATCACTAATTTATGATGAAATGAGGCTACTTAACCAACATATTCCATAGAGTATAGGGGCGGTTAATCAAAAAAATGGGCAGAATCTTGCAAATTTTGATAAAAGCATGAAATTTCGTACAGATGATTTTTTTACAATTATAAGCGATTTGACCCGCATGACCCTCTTGTCGGACCGATAGGAGCAAGATGGCGACCATTTTCAAAATGGCGACTATCAAGAGGTTAAAATTGGTAATTGTGAATCGATTTCAGCAAAATTGGGGTCGTTTTCGAATAATTTTTGATCGGAAAATGTAAAAAAATATAAAATTGAGTGATTGAAATTTGAATAATACAGGGTGTCCCAGCCGAGAGTGACCCATTTCAAATGCTCATAACTTTTGAACCAAGTATGCTAGCCACCTGCGGTTGGCGCCATTCCACTTCTCTTGGCCTAAGATTTTTTTTTTCGTTAGTTGCTCATTTTCTTAATACTTATACCGGGCCAGTAAAGGAGCAAGATGGCGCCCATTCGCAAAATGGCGGACCAAGAAATTATAATTTTTAATTGTGGATCGATTTTATCAAAATTAGGGTCGTTTTCAAATAATTTTGGGTCAAAAAATACAACAGAACATGTATTTTGTATTACAATATAATCTTAACTCAGAAAAGATTATTCTTTTAATTTTTTTGAGGAATTAACTATAGTTATATTCAAACTATGTAAAAAAAACAAAATGTAGGTATCAAAAACTTTTTTCCGCGTGCTCATAAGAGCATGCGGAAAAAACACGCATTGGCCTGCGGAAAGAGTAATTTTTCCGCACTAGTGTGGAATTTTTTTTTTCGCACGTCGTCGCGTTGTGTTGACCCACGATATGCATCAGCGATAAATTCACAATTTGCTGAAAATTGTACATTCACCATTAAAATAGTTAAACATAAATAAAAAATGTTGTTAATTGCCTAATATAGATTTATATATTTTTTTATTTTTGTATTTTTTATTGTCTGCTCGTAGGAAAAATTGTGTTCCTAACATTTGTTAGGAAAATAACTATTTCATTAGATAAAAATATTTTTTTAAAAATTAATCTATAGATAATAAATTTTTAGTTCGCTAAATTTCACATCCTTCCGTCACCCCTACCCCCTTGCACACCAACCCTCTTCCCGCCGCCGATCACTCGGTACATTATAGGTACGTGGTAATTTAGGTGTAAAAACACATTCTGTTGATAACATTTTTAAGCAGAGGTCATAAAAATTTGAAATTCGATTATACAGGGTGTCCCAGCCGAGAGTGAACCATTTCAAATCCTTATAATTTTACAAACCAGGTGTGAGGCTACCTGCGGTTTGCACTTGGCCTAATGTTTTTTTTAGTTAATTGCAAATTTTTCTGATATTTTTACAGGGCCAGTAAAAAAACTGCTGTTTTTCAACATGGAAATTCTCCACTATTTCTAATAAGACCCCCTGTATATCACAACACAATATCACAACGTCAAAATAAGAATCGTGTTCAAGGTATCCATGCACCAATAAACATCGTCCTTGAAGCTTAAAGTTTTAGCCGTAAAATATTAAAATCGAAATCCTGGTACTTATTTTTGCACACGCATGCAACTACATGTTGCAGTGTATCTTATATGAGATCTATTTTCAGCAGGATGGTGCCGCACCTCATTATTCATTACTCTTTAATATCAAGAGAATCACTAGATATGATATTTGAGGAAAGATGGATATAGGAAGAGCTGGTTCTATAGAATGGGCACCTTACTCTCCTGACTTGAAAGTTCCAGACTTTTTTCTCTGGGGTTATATCAAGGAGAGTTAAACCCTTTGCCAAATAGCCTGGAAGATCTTAAGCGGAACATTCGTAATGTCATTGAAAAAATTCCTCAGAAAATGTTACATTATTCCTTCAATAAAGAATGAAGGCTTTCACGGCCGGTCAAATCTAGTAAAAAAATTTTTCCGGGCTATAATGCCGTGGTCCATTAGTATTACTACTTACTAATGGACCACGGCATTATAGCCCGGAAGCATTTTACCGTTTCCTATTTAGTTACCGCTACATGGAGCGCTAATCCTTTAGGATTTGTAAAATTATATCTGGCATTGCGTTTCCTATTAGGCCAGCGCACATTGTCTACCGTTACATGGTGCGCTACTCCTATAGGACTAGGACTCGTTAAATTATATCCGACGTCCCGTTCCCTATTGACCCTATTAGACCAGCTCACGTAAATTAAATAACTACGCCCATATTGCCAACCATATGCTGTTACATGACTTTTGACATTGGGTTGATTTTCAATAATAATTAATAAAACAACTTGGTTACTGTTTACTGTTACAACCAAGGTACTTTTTGCTAACTTAGTAAAGTGCGTTATACTACTAGAATAGAATCCTTTTGCAATTACAGCTAAAATTTATCTATGATAGCCAAAAATACATCAGTAGAGTTTTTGGCTAGAGGATTTCTCAGTGTAGAATCAACAGAAATAATAAAACGAGACACAACGAGAAATATCACAAAATTATTGCACCACCTGTAACCATACCAATTAACCTCAAAAAAATGACAACGATAATGCATTGCAATAGATGTCTGCAGACGATCGCAGAGGGTGCGCGCTGGTCTAATAGGAAACGTGACATCAGATACAATTTAACAAGTCCTATATGATTAGCGCTCCATGTAGCCGTAGACAATGTGCGCTGACCTAATAGGAAACGCGATGCCAGATATAATTTTACAAGTCCTAAAGGATTAGCGCTCCATCTAGCGGTAACCAAATAGGAAACGGAAAAATGCAGCCCGGAAACAACTTTTTTACTAGATTATTCCTTGAACCATTTACTGATCCGACTCCATAAATGCGTGGAGCAAAATGGCCAACATATACATCTCTTTTTACAGTTTTATCCAGATTATTACCTTTTTATCAGACAAAGATAATTTCGAAGCTTTGTGAATATGCTAATAAAAATGCGTTTGCAAAAATACCCAGGATTTCGATTTAAATTTTTTACGGCTGAAACTTTAAGTTTCAAGGACTATGTTTATTGGTACATGAATACCTTGAACATGACTGGTTTTTTTGACATTGTAATATCCATTGAAAATAGTGGAGAATTTCAATGTTGAAAAACTTCATTTTCTTTACTGGCCCGGTATAAGTATCAAAAAAATGAGCAACTAAACAAAAAAAAAACGCCAGGCTAAGAGAAGTCGAATGACGCAAACCGCAGGAGTCTAGCATACTTGGTTCAAAAGTTATGAGCATTTGAAATGGGTCACTCTCGGCTAGGACACCCTGTATTATTCAAATTTCAATCACTTAATTATATATTTTCTCAGATTTTCCGATCAAAAATTATTTGAAAACGACACCAATTCACAATTACCAATTTTAACCTCTTGATAGCCGCCATTTTGCAAATGGTCGCCATCTTGCTCCTATAGGTCCGACAAGGGGGTCATGCGGGTCAAATCGCTTATAATTGTAAAAAAATCATCTGTACCAAATTTCATGCTTTTATCACAATTTGCAAGATTATTCGACTAACCGCCCCGACTACCAAGGAAGACACATATCTTGGAGATGAGTATCAGTGACAAGGTATAAATGCTTTTAGAAGAAATTAGAATTATTGAACAGAAACACGAAGCCAATGTGAACAAATTCAATAGAACTATTAAACTGCTAAGAAGCATATAGTTTTACTTCACTACTATCAAGTATGTCGACCACAAACTTAAACAGCATTCTGGACGGACAATGTTCTGCTCTGAAAACATAACTTTACGTGAATATTTATAGAAGGAGAACTTCTCAATTATTACCAATTCAAAAATTTGGTATCAACATTTTTGCTTCCAAGATAGGCTCAAGGGTCCCACCAATAACTATGTTTTTTTTTCTCATACAAGTGATATCTCAAATGCATCCTATGCTATTTGCGATTTGTATTTTTTTATTCTATTGGTTTTAATATTTCACTTTGCTTTTTCAGTTTTGGCTACTTTGCGCCTCTCCTCTAAGGGAGCGCGTCCCACAGGTTTATAACCTGCATCAGGGCATACATTATAAAAAAAAATTAAACGCGACTAAACTGAAAGATCACCTTCCGTTTCCATAAAATATATCATTGTTATGAATCCATGTCTTGTTGTACCTCCACAATAGGTAAGTAAATGAATAGGTACATCATAAGATTTAAATAATAAATTTTGTATATTTATTGCCTAAGTCGCGCTTGCGTAACGGCCTTTTATAGATTATCTACTCTATCCTATACCTAATTATTCACGTACTTGTGCGCAATTCTTTTAGCACTTTACCTTTCGAATAAGGTGCGGGGTTATTAATAATAAGTCCTTATATGAGTTTATTTCGTCGCCATATTAACGGTTCATTTACAATTTTCGAATAAGTTATTTAACTTGTTATTTGTCTTTGCCATATTAATTAAATAAATATCGCTGCTGTACTGTAAAAAAAACCAAATGACGATGTATCTGCCTACTGTGGTGACATTTATAAATTTAAATCTATCGGATAATAGAATAGAATGAAATTTATGCAAGAGGACGACAATGACATAATAATAATTGCTCTAAAGCTTAGAACTATGCGAATAAAGGAAACGGCTAGAGCTTTCTGTGCTACCATGTTGATGACTACTGGGCGGGAATTCTGTAACTAATATAGATCGTTATCCCTATCGCTATAGAACTTGCTGTCTTCTTCTCTCTTGTCGAAATCAATACAGGGGACTGGGGAGGCGTCAATAGAGATAGAGAAAATATCTCTAATTCTTTACAGAATCCCAGCCCTTGCTTCTTCACGCCTGTCTCGGAGTCTCGGGCTCTAGTGATATTTATATTGAGTAATTAGGTTATATTTATTTCCAATTTAATGATCTACTCTTTTTTTTTTTTCAGAAAATATTCCAAAGACCACAGGAAACACAAGCGGAGCGTAGGTTTCCGGTAAGTTATAGAAATGTTTGTTTCATTTTGTTATTATCGAATAACGGTGGTTTCCACCATAATAATTGTTTCTAACTGAACAGATACCTAATCGACCAGTTTCTTTTGATGTCGAAAAGTACATATTATAGATCAAATTACCCCCTTGACTCAACTTGCTATAAATAGGAAGATTCTGATTCTACTCAAAATGACAACACGCAAAATCTCCATTTTTATTCTGTAGATTTTTTCTCTGTAATCAGCTACTTTAAAAACCTCAATTATTATTAGGAGCTTAGGAGTGATTAGCATTTTAATTGCAGATATTTCTACTAGAATGGCATTTTTGAGAAAGTTAGTCGCGAATGTATATAGAGGCAATAAATTTCTTTCGAAAATAGAAATTTGACTGAAGTGATATTTTTAGTTAAGTCTTCAAGGTCAACTTGTGGCGATAATGATTTTGAGCTCTTACTCCAGAAATAGCATGACCAACATCAGTTTGCAATAATGCATTTTTTTTGATGAAAAAAAAATCCAATATAAGTTTTTTTGGATTGTGGACTTATCAGGATGCTATATACCATTGGGCCGAAAAGAGAAACTGAGATATACTGATTTTAATGAAAGCCTAATCATTTCAATTTGAGTATCGAGTCATTTGCGAGCTGTTAAAAGTATTTAATTCCTTTCGAAATTTGAAATTTAACTGAAGTAGTATTTTTACTTAGAACTTAAAGAATGAGTTGTGGCAATAATGATATTGGGTTGATAAGATCAAATATTATTCAAAGATCTGTGTCAGAGGTCAACATTATGATTTCCGCCTATCTAAAGTTTTTCGTGAAATAACATTTATATCCTAGAAACAGAAAAAATATGTCTCCTATGTTCAGGCTCGTAAGCGGCTTTGTAGTTAAGTGAGACTACTTTTCCGAACTTAAATAAATTTTATTTGAAACAATAAGAAAAAAATCACGAGAAAACTCTAGCGCACAACACTCTGAATTACTTAAATTAAGTTTAACTTTTCCAATAACCGAGCATACAGGGGTCGATCAATAGGTACGACATACAGGTTAAGAGGCTGTCTCTGCTATTCCATAACACGGCTTCCTTGCATCCAAGCCTCTCTATAGGACTAGCCTTTCTACTTCAATAACCTTAGGCTTGGCTTTCAACGAACTGTGATTCCTGTACACCAAGACGTTGAGCTCATTGACTATCTCGTATGGTTCTTTCCATTCTATAATTTCCGGCTTAGTACCCTCCTTCGCTATAGCTGATACAACTAGACGGCTGGCGTCGCCTTCACTGAAGGTATTCAATGATTGCCGGTTGTCGAGTCTCATCTTTGTTTCATCACAATCCTACGCCACTATGAGGATCGGATCAGCCACATAGACTGAAAATACAGCTTTATCCTTCATGACCGATGGTCTGCTGAATATAAGACCTACGGGAAGCTTCATTTCTTTTCCAGTCAACAGCATTGATGCTGTATACCGGTGGATTAATGCTGAGAGTTTTATAAGCCAGAGGAAAAAGAGGCACCAGCCTCGCTGCTGTTCATCCACAAACATCGAGAGGCGTTGATTGATGGTCCGATTTTTTATCTCAACCATTCCGTCGGACTGAGGATGAACCCGAGTCGTTCTGATTTCCTTATTTGGGACTCAAAATTGCTCCCGTGATCCATGTTAGGTTCCATCGGTAACCCATGGCTAAATATAATGTTTTCCAGAAATGATTCAGCAACTGCTTCCTGATTGGGGATTAGAACTTTGGACCACTTTGAAAAATAGTCCATAGTGACTCTGTTGTAGGAAAAGAACCTGGGATGTCTACAGAAATTCTCTTCCAAGGGTAGCTAGACAAGCACTGTTTCATTTCTACTCGAGATCGCGTTTTGAGTCCTTCCCTAGAAGCACAAAGGTCGCACCTCTTATACCATTCTTGACCCAGTATATCGATCTCTCAGTCGAGCCATTGTCCGGAGCGGCAACTACTCCATCTACTGTGCAGTTCACGCAGCACTCTCTTCACAATGGTCCGGGGCACCACGGTCTGAAGTGGGTATTTGGTTTTTCCCATCTAGGCTCTCCTATTTACAATTGATCAAGTCATCTCGCAGGCACAATTAATTCCATTGAAGCCAGCATCCGTCTTTTTTCTCTTGCCTTTTGGCAAGAGCTGTCAATACATTATGGTGTTTTCCTTTCCGACCTTTTATTTGGAAGTCGTTACTTTGTAATTGATTCATCCAATACGCGATTTGTCCTTCTAGATGTATAAAATTAAGTGGTTAGTGCAAGGCAGAATGGTCGGTTCTATGAAACTTTTTTTGCCCATGGAGAGAACTTTGGTAAATCAATAATTTTCCTCCGCTTGTCCGTTGACATTCTGGTACCCAATCAAAGCCTTCGTTCTTTGCAATTTCCAAAAAATCTTTCCCAGACCGGCGGGCGGTCGTAACTGCAGAGTCCTCGGAAGCTTCTGACCATGTAATTTGATCTGGGTGAACCTCGCCAGAACTTTTTGTGAGTCCGTCTCTATTCCTTCCGAACATACATGCCCTAGGGAGTTACCTTTTTCCTGGAATAGAACACACTCATTTGAATTTATTTGTAAATTGGTGGGTACTTCGAATCCTGGCAAAAACTTGTACCTTGGACTAGAAAAACTTTGTTGGAGTTGACTAGACAGTATGCCACAAGGGTTCCATTCAGCCTATGTTCTATTGGATCTACTACCATGGTTTTCGACCTTTCTAGCTGTCTTTCCAGGTTTGCTTTCACGATTGTCTCATTATTGTCCTAATCCGCGAATCTTTGCCGCCTATGAGTTTTACTGGGCACTTTGCTGGCAGTTTGAAGGTGAATAGAAAAATAACTTCTTTTATACTCATTTCGGCTCTTCCAGTTTCCCGGAAACGGAAACGTGATGAGTTTCCGCAAGCTTTCGATAATATTTTTGCAGTTTATGCCCTCTTTCATTTATGTTTGGAGACTTAATAGATGTTCGTCCTAGAACCTCCAACTTTGATTTGCGTGAACCGTGCTAGTCCTTGACAGGCAAATTCTACACTTTGGCGTAGACGCAACTGAGAATATCACGAAATCTGTGAATGCGAATTATTGTACATCGCCCTCTCAATAGGAAACATGTCCGTTTTCTATTTCTCCTATATTATGTGACATCTTGAGATTTCGAAAAAACGATTGTCAAAGTTTCAAAAAAGTGTATTGCCGAAAAGTTACTGCTAAGCCAGAGGAGAAACGGTTGCTAGGAAGACACGTTTTCGCAAAGACATCGCAGACAAGATTTACAGACGAACACATGTTTTCAGATCTCCGAAGAGGAAGAATACTCAGTATAATAATGTGTGTAGGTAAACTATATGCAAGCTTATTGGTATCTGTTCCCGAGATTGATGAGATTTGTGACGATTATGTTTTCCAACAAAATGTTGCCCGGAATGCGGAATAGAAGAAAATCCTTTTTCCGAGTATTTCTTGGAAAAAAGGAAAAATATGGGTACCTCACAGCCTAGAATCGAAATAGTTTAAGCAAAATTTAAGGAAAAACGAATCTCTTTTGCAACGAAGTTCAACACAGTGTATAAAAATCCCGTTCTCGTACTGTCTATTTTTTCTTACCACAATGGAACATTTCATTAGGAACATCTCCAAAAGTTAGATTAAAAGTTGCAGCAGGTAAAAATGTTATAACGGCTAAAAAATGTACTCCGTTAATTTAAGACAATACATACAAAAAGTACATTTTATAGATGCAAAATTCTAACCTGACTAATTATATTATTTGGCTAATAATAAACGAACATAATTAATTTATCGAATCTTTTTATAGCGAACGTCCCGTTTTGGGCCTGAACAAATTGCCGAAATCCGGAAGTTACCATCATCATCCACTGACAAAAAATAATCTTAATGACATCATAAGTCAATAAATTCCGACAGCAATAAACACCTCTTATAGGTAACCTTTTCGGGCTCATAAATACAACGAATCGGATGGCCATCGATGGATATCGACCGGTTTTGTTTAAAAAATAATGAGCAAAATGACGCAAATTTTCTGTTCTTTCTTGACAGCCCCGCGGTCGGGGATTAATGTGCCGATTTGCAGTCACCACCCGTTGGATTGGACGATGACGATGATGCCAAGATCGGATCGACGTAATTAACTCAACAACGAGTTTTTTCTTGTGGTCACTTTTGACATTGAAATTTAAAGAATTCTGGTGTGCGTGTTGTCAGGACCGTCAGCTTGTGGATATCATAGCATAAGGTTTCTACAGGGTCTTAATGAATGCTCGTCAAAATAATATAAATATTTTTTTCAAACATATTGGCCTAGAAACTCAACTTTCAGGATAGGTCCTTCAAATTTATTTTCCCAATCTTATCTAATTATACACATAAATTAATTTAGGCTAAGATAGGTATTACAAAAAATAACGTAGTCACCTAACTCACATATTTCGAGAGATCTAAACCTTAATATTTTTAGTAACATCCGTCGTTTCGGAAATAACTTGAAAAATGCTTTGCTTATTAATTTTTGTCATTAGTTTGATCAATGAAGAGCACCCCTAATCTTGCTATATTCATTTCTCATTTAAATGTACCATACCATGTTCATGCGACCACGTCAATTTAAATTATTATTTCAATTGTTGCTAATTTCCTAACAATAAACGCTTGGAAAAAAAATAAGTCGATGAAAATATCATCAGCAACTGAAAATATTTTAAAAAAATTCCCGACAAAAGACAGTAAAATACCGTTATGTAACCTACTCCAGAAACGGCATGACGAAAAGCAATTTGCAATAATGCATCTTTCTGATGCAAAAAAAAAATCCCAAACAATCCAATATTTATATTTGAACTCAAGACTTAATCAGAATTTAGGCACTTTTGGATTGTAGACCCATCAGGATGCTATTTACCATTGCGCCGAAAAGAGAAATTGAGACACCCAAATTTTAATGCA